CATAACAATCCCAAGCCCAATGCAGTACTTGTCCTTCCAAGTGTCGATTTCCCAAACCGGGAGGTCCTAAGTGGAACTCTAAGCCGGCAGGGCAGATTCGGAGGTTCATGAATGATTAGAAGTGGGGTTACAAGTCCCTTAATATGGGTTATAACTTCTATAGTTACCCTAGTTATAACCAACCCAGAACCTCCAAGTAGAACACAAGCCCTAACGCCACATCCTTAGCAACCGCTGTTATCAAGGCCCCCTTTCCGAGCCCTAAAACAGCTCAAACTCCAGAACGTAAGAGTTAAGCGAAAGCCCTACCCTACCCTAAACCCCCAAAAGAATCCTTCGAGTAAGCTTTAGGGAACCCTTGCCGGAATCCTCAAAGCACCCTGAAAGGGCATCCGAAGGAAAAAGCGCCCTCGTCAGCAGGAGCTTTTCATCCTTTCGAAGGGCCTGGTGGCCCTGAACAGCGGCTGAAGCTGCAAGATACTTCAGGGGCCTGGTAACAGCTGGTATTACTACTCCCTGCTTAGGGTTCCTTACCCGAGTTATGGTACAATGCTGCCCGGCACAGTATTCTAAGTCTTAATGGCCCTACAGTACAAGTTTTCGGGTTTTCCGGTTCAATGCTGGCGGTCCTGTTTGTGTTTTCCCTATTGGGGATGGGCTGCCTAACAAGAAAAAAAGGGCCCCACAAGCATATATGATCCCGTTCGGCCGTCCCCCCCCCCCCCTTCCCCCCCCCCCAATGGTTCCTCCCCATCCCCCCCCCTGTGGTGTGGTGGTGGGTTGCTTCCCCCTCCCTGTGGTGTGGTGTGTCGTGGGCGGGGGTGGGTCTGGTTGGGGTGGTTCCCCCCTTCCCCCTGTGGAATGGTGTGCCCCTGCGTTTTTAGGTTTGTAGGTTTGCTTTGGGTGTTTGGTATACTCATCCCTATACTCATCCCTTGATGATAATCATGATGATGCTGGGGACGATGCTCACCATCATCATTAGCTCAAGCATCTTAATGTTTGATTGGTTTGTCGTCGGGTGTCTTCTGCCCACGTGCCTGGTACTGATTATCGCTTTGTTGATCGTAGGGCCACTATCTTCGTGGCAGTTGTCGCTTTGGGGGCAATTGCCAAAAGGTTGCAATCGGCCAACTGTCAAAGGGATCGGGCCTGTCAGGAAACGCAGTCCTCGTGACAGTTGGTGGCTTTGGCGGCCTCACACGGATCCGGCGTCTTTGGGGCGCGATCCTCGTGACAGATGACGGTTTTGGGGCCCGCATGTGCAAAAAGTGTGCGCAGTCACACAGATTCGGCTTGGGGAGTTGGTGGGGGGGTGGGGGGGGGGGATACCATTGGGGGGGGGGGGTCGGCGAACCGAGAACCGGGATCATATATTCGTTCGTTCCTTCCTAACCCGGACCAAGTGAGGAGTATGTCGGGATTTGTGGGAAAGGGTTGGAGAGTTTAGGCCCTACAAGGGGTTTAGGTTGAGCAAGAACGTGGCGATGACAGGTCCGATAGGTCTCAGACTGACGACAACAGGACATGCCAACACGGGACAAGCATGGACCAGCACTGGCCCCAATTTCTTACGCTTGAGGTCATACCAATGTGGGGCACCCGTAGCAATGCAAGCAGAAATGGCAAATGCGGGACCGGGCAGGAGTGATGACGACCTGAATGAAGGAAGTGGCCACCAAACTTTCACGATCATGGAGGGTCACTGTCACGTCATGTTCCTCATGATGTCGCTCCAAAGCTCGCATCTTCTGCAGGAACCTGGAAAGTGAGCTTGTCGATTGAGTTCTCTTGTGAAGCCGGAGCAGCTGCCAAACCTTGAGAAACCCTCTTTCTTCACAAATGGGTACAGCCCATAATCTCATAACAAACCCCATACTGCACTGTATAAGCCTTTGGATTTGATACGCCCTGCAATCTCTGATACGGAATCAACCCAGAGACTCCAATATCCCTTAATTAAGGAATACTCTTTAAATCATGGAAAGACGGGCCAAGGGGCCCGCTCAGGCGGCAACTGCCTGAGAGATGCCCCGAGCCGTCGAAGTGCTACCAGCCTATAAGGGATCCGTGAAGGGGTCCTTTGAGGGAATTTTTAGAGTTTGAAGTGGGTTTCCTCAGGGGTTTTTGATATGTTCCCCAACTTCAGTACCTACGGTTGCTAGACGTCAGTGCTGAATGAACCTCACCATCAACCCGGAGCATGGGAGTGATAGGACCAGACAGACCTTTGAAGAGTTCTTTTAGAGCCAAGTCAAGGACAGCAGCCGTGTAGCCCCTGCAGTAGGCATCAGCTATGTCTGCATAGAATCGGACTCATGGCTCATGTTCCTTGGCTTCTATGGCTTGGCGTTTCTTCGGCGGAAAATGTGCCCGAGCATCCCGTGCCTTCCGACTTCCGCCCCTTTCGTCCGGACCTCTTACTCCCGAACTACGACTGCCGTGACACCTTAGAGCGTGATCCCGAGACTCTTTTGACTTCATGGACGGAGACACAGGCAGTGTACCTGATCACTGGATCCCCCCGAGCTTCTGGCCCTGGAGAAGCGGAAGAAGAAGACGCAATCTGGTTCAATTACATCACTGCTTTTGAGGAGCATATTCACCAGGACTTGGAAGCAGACTGTCCCTTTGCCTTCTTTGTATTGAAACTCTGCCTCTGGTTCTCTTGCCGGCTTCTTGTGGAGCACCATGAAGCCTGTTTAGCTCATGGTGCATCGGCACCAATGCTGGGAAGAGATCTCCTGGCCGCAGGCTATTACGGGCTGAGAAACTGGGAAACTTTCGGAGTTTTCCTGAACTCCAGGTGGGCTCGGCCCTTCTGCAAATGGGTGCATGGAGCTCTTGCCTTAGCTCCGAAGTTGGGCTTGGTTTCAGAAGACCTCATTACAATCTCCAGCTGTCCGGTGCCACGGAGTGGCGCGTGGCTGTCGGAATGGAACTGGCAGGATCACCTGCACCTGTTCTTGTCGGATTCGGTCGAGGCAGCGGCTCTGACCATGAACCCAAGCTCTGTTATAAACTGGGAGGTAAAGGTCACGGAGTGTCCCTTGGGACTGCTGAACATTCTTCTCCATCAGATCTTGCTTTGCATGACCGGAATTTCCGAGATGGTACCCTACCTCACAGAGCAGCTGACCTTACTGCTCATGTTGGTCGAAACCGAACTCCGGGAAGCAGGCATCGAAGTCCTCCCGGTGCTGATGGCCACCAAATGGCCCATCTTGAGGATGCTGACGCACGTGGCGGTGAACGTGCAGCGTAGGAATGTCACCATCGATCATGTTCCCAGAGGTTTAATACACGCCTACCCGCTTTTGTTGTTTATTTTTCAGTATATTCGTAGAAGTATTAGACAAGAGTAGGTACCCTACAGAAGAGCCACCTAGGTGCTGGTGCCTCACTACCAGACGAAGCCCTACGTCCTGGATTTTCATCCCCACGAGCTACTTTATCCGGAGGCCGAAACAAGCGCCGAACCCTACCGTCCCCATAACAAAAGCCGATAAATGCCCCAAAAGCCTTAATTCCTCAATCCCCAAACTACCCTAAACCCCACAGAGGCCGAAACGCTGCAGCTCCCTGCGGGTCGCTCGAGAGAGGGCCTCCGATTTCGACGCCACGGCTTGGGGCCGAGCAAAGTCTACCAAAGGACCCAAGGCTTCATAAGGGTTTATAGGGGTTTCTAAGGTTTTATGGGGTTTACAAGGTTTTATGGGGTTTTAATTTTAAGGGGGTTATAAGGTTTTATAGGGTTTTCAGGGGTTTATAAGGTCTTATAGGGTTTTAAGAGGTTTATAGGCTTATATGGGTTTATAGGGTTCTTGTTAAGGGGTTTAGTTTACTAAGTTACCATAATGGGGATCTATAGTAAGCAGTATGGTTTCCTTATTGTGGTAACCTAAAGTGAGCCCCTCAACAAGAGCTCAGAAGGACCTTGCAGTTCTTGGAATCGACGCTTTCGTTAGAGCCGGCGGGCGAGACTAAGCCGAAGAGCCCGATCATTTTCACCATGATCTTCGGGGAAAGGCTGGGCCAGTAATAGAGTGGGTAACCTTTAACCTTGTTGGGGTAGTATAGTCCCTGTATATAATCCCTTTTGTAACCCAGAAAGGGTTAACCTTTAGTTCCCAACGATACCCGACAAGTAGGCTGGCGAAGCACTTGCCGAAGTGGTTGCTGCGTTTGGAAGCCTTCGGACATTTGCCGAAGACACTGGTCTTCTGCTTCGATTCTGCCAGTTTGGAGGCCTGCCGAGCGGCGCACGGAAATCGCCGAGGATGTGTCCAGGGAAGGTTGCGGACCGCCTCGAACAAGTTCCACATGATGTCCGTGATCTTGAACTCAGGTTTCGATGTGCTGTACCTGGATTTCGACCTAGTCTTGATGCAAGACCCCTTGCCGAGCATCTTGAGACACGCAGAGCAGGCAGAACTGTTGCTGACCCGAGATTTCGGCGGCGAGTGCATCAATATTGGGGTTGTCTACATGAAGTCGCACCCTAGCACCTCCTTATTTGTGCAGGGGCTTATTCGTTGGCTTTGGCACCACCCCTACGAGTTTTGCCAGAAAGCCTTTGCTGGCATGATGGGCCTGGAGGACGTCACTTGGAACGACCAATATGGAGATCCCGTGCGTTCCGTTCCGCGATGGGGCTTTCTGGACTCCGAAAACAGCTTTGCAACCAGCACCGTTTACGATGCAAGCTTGCAGGGCTGGACTGGGGACCTAGAGAAGATCCTCATCTACCACTTCTTAGATGGGCTTGGTGCGGTGGATCCGGACCTGGCGGTTACCGGAGAGTATACGGACTTGTTCACTCTTTTTTACCAGAACCCTGAGCTGAATCTTGGGGATACCCAAACGCCGCTCTACGAGCAAGATGGAAGAGTCCGGAAGCAACTCCTATTTACTCGACAGCCGACACCCCCGTCACAACTGCAGCCCTGCGGCCACTACGAGACCTCTGCCTACCCAGCCTGGAAAAAGCGCCAGCGCGACAAGCTCCAGACACGGCTGGACATCCGACCCGTCCAGCTGCATTGAGCCCTTGAGCGACAAAATTAGGGCACTGCGTGGCTCCAGCGGGTCGATTTTGCCCCGTCCTGTCGGTGAGATCCTAAGCCAGAGCATAGACCCCGAGCAACCGTGGTCCGAGGCAGGGTGGAAGGCGGTGGCGCAGTCTGGGGCGAAGATTTCGTCCTGTCGGATACTTCTTTGATAAGACCCGTGGCAGGCTCGAAGAGGGGTAGTCTCATGAGCTGAGGGGTCTGCGGCGGCTTGGGATTCTGGCATTTAGGGGTTTATAGGCCGGAGGAAGCTACGGGCTTTGGAACTTTGCGTCATATCGTGATGGGCACCAGCCCAGAGCCTTTCTTCCACATGTTCATGCACATCGGTCACACTGGACCAGCATGTCGGTGAAGTCGGATATTCTGCTCGCTTAGGATTTTTGGGGAGAAAGGAAGTTGCAAAGCTGGGCTTGAAGATAAGACAGGGATTGTTCCACATGGATGAATTCGTCACCAGCCCTTGCTCTCCACTACCCCCAGGTGCTTGGTTGCAGCCTTGATCCAATCATGAACTGCAGCAACGAAGCCTCTCTCCACCCCCCACGTACTAGTAGGGTCCATCATTTGTTGCTGACCCTAAACTCTACACCCACAGAGCGGCGAGAGAGCGGCTCGTGGGAGGTTATGCTCTGACGTACATCGAGGTGTTGATGCTCACGCGTGAGCGTTTTATGGACGTCATCGAGCGACGGAAGCTCGCAGGCACTTAGGCGGCCCTGTCGGAGGAAGGAAGCTTTCAAATCTGCTTTTCCTTCCTTTTCCCTCCGACTTCAACTCGGTGGCTTCCATGTGCTGGATTCAGGCGTAAACCCTAGAACAGTACGTTGAAACCTCAGGCAGAGACCCACCCGAAGGCTCCACCAATCTACGCAAGGAAGCTCACATGCCCTCAGCTCTCGATGATCGTGCGCCGCTACTGCGTGCGTGTGGCCGTGCCTGGGGCTGCATGGAGGTGTTTGCCGGGCTTCTGGACAGAGAAGGTGAGAGATCAGGAAGAGCCGGAATGGGGTGTCAGAAACCAGCGCATGGCTTTGAGTACCCTTTTGCCTGGCAGCAACAGTCGATGTTCGGCGGGTTTTGTGCCATGGTCGGGCATTGCTATAAAGACCTGTGCTTGCTGTCGTCACCTTTTGGTTTATCTCATTGATCACCCAAAAACGCGAAACCCCGAATATACTTGCAAACGTTATGTGTTGTCCAGTGCAGCTTTGCGCAGCGAGTCCGCAATATCTGTGCCGAACAGAGTTCTCGAGCATCTATCATATCAGCATAGGTCAACCCTTACGAAAACTGGACAATGCATGTAAAGATTTAAAGCCTAGTTAAGTTAAGGCCTACGGTACAATCCCTCAACAGATACTATTCTGCAGTCTCGACCATTCAGAGGACCAAGCAGACCCCCAAAGGGTCCAAGTATATACCATTATGGCATATACTTATAGGCTATTTTGGGGGTCTAAGTATATACCACAATGATACTTGGACCCTTTGGGCCCTATGCCCTCAAGCCGCACCATCCGTCGCCCTTCCGCGGAAGTCTCGAAGCCTCAAGCCGACTGGAGCAGTTCCCCGAAGGCTTCCTTTAAGGAAGCTTTATGGGTGGTTGTCAATATTAGGGTCCCTTTTTGGATACTTAGTATAATACGGCACCTAACAGGGTACCCCAAAAGGGACCAAGTATCATTATGGTATATAGTATATACTTAGGCCACCAAAATACCCTATAAGTATATGCCATAATGATACTTGGACCCTTTGGGTAGGGCTCCTTTTAAGAAAAAGGGATCCCTATCCCGGCAGCCTCTGGGTTGCTCTAGAAAAGGATCTATCCGGGCTCGGGGGACTTAGTAACTGGTTATTTTAAGGACTTATAAGTACCATAAACCCAAATAGGGTCCCTTTTAGGGTACTTATAAGTCTACTTACTACCTACTTACTAAGTCCCCTAGAGACCCTCCAAGTAGGGGTCCATCCCTGCGGCAGAGGCTTTGGCTCGTCGGCTCCTTTATATAGGAGCTCCATGAAGGCCTAAGTATCTACAGTGGAAGCCAGAAAGTTGGAATATTATTATCGTAACCCCTTTAAGGTAAATTATAGGGGATCCTACCATTAATCCATATTCCAACTTTCTGGCTTCTACTGTACTGCCATGGAAGTTTCCGAAAATTAGGGGGTATCGTATTTGGGTATAGTATGGATCCTACTACCTATTTTCGGAAACCACTACCTGCATGGGTTCTTGGACCCCGGCAGTTTCAGATCCAGAACTTTATAAATGTTCAAGCTTCGAAAAAGCTGCAAAACCTGTAACTACCAAATAAATCTATGCGGACATTGCAAAGCATAGTGCCCTTACTATATGTAGGGGCCTTTATCATGGTAGTCCTTTGGGCCCCTACTGTTGATGATTTAAATCCTGCGTTGCCTTAAGGACCCAAAACTATGGGAATTATGGTATATTCCTTATTATGGATAATGCAGGATTTATATCATCAACAGTAGTTATAAGTGGGTTGTACGTCCACTTATACTTTAGGCGACAACTTGTATAACTATAGTTTTCTGACATCATCAACCGTATGTTGCAACCCTAAACCCTAAACCCTAAAACCCTAAAACCTTAAAACCCTATAAACCCTAAACCCTAAACCGTTCCTCAGGTGTTCCGGGGGATCCTCCGGGAAGCGCGAAACCGTGCACGGGAGGACCTGAGCCTTGGGCCGGTACTCAAAGGGATCCCAGAGACTCCCATATCCCTAGGGGTTCCTTTAAAGGGATCCTTAGGGGTTCCTTTAAAGGGATCCTTAGGGGTTCCTTTAAAGGGATCCTTAGGGGTTCCTTTAAGGGATCTATAGGGTTTAGGGTTAAGGGACTCCAATATCACTTAAGTAAGGAATATTCCTTAAATTATAGTAGTACCCCTAATATGATTTATAAGGAATATTCCTTCGTTAAGGGATATTGGAGTCTCTGGGATTCCTGAGTCAGCGCTTAGGAGGAGTAGGGTTCAGGAGGTTTAGGAGGTTTTGGAGTTAGGGATTTAGATAGGGCTCAGGAGGTTTAGGGAGGCTTTAGGCTTCAAGGCCTTAGGGGCCGCAGGGTCAAGTGCTGGGCCTGGGGAAAAAAAGGGTTTAAGGGCCTCAAAGGCCATCTTCTTCCTGGGATTTCCCTAAGGTTTAGGCTTTAGGGGTTTAGGGTTGGGGTCTAGAGTTTGGGGTTTTAGGGTTTAGCGATGCTCCCGGGCAATGTTTCCCGTGCTCTTGACCATGGCCTCTCTGCATCCCCCCGGCCTTATACCCAGAGACTCCAATATCCTTTAATTAAGGAATATTCCTTAAACTATAGTAGGATCCCAAATATGATCTAAGGAATCTAATATTCCTTAAATTATAGTAGGATCCCTAATATGATTTAAGGAATCTTCCGTTAAGGGATATTGGAGTCTCTGGGTAATCATGCCCAGGGCGTCAAGAGCTGAGGGTCTGCGGGGTCATGGCAGGAAGCTTGTTGGGATCTGGGAGTGCGCTGTCTCTTGGGGCACAATACAGCCAAGGGTCCTTATTACAGTTAGAGTTATAGTATAATGGGCCACCAAAACCCTACTCGAATTATTAAGGCCCCCTATACGAAACTCTTACTTACAGCCCTTATAGTAGCCCTTATAGACCCCTTTTCAGGAACCCTATTCTAATGATGTAGGCCCCTATATTACAGAACCTATCATAGATCCCTGATATACTACAGACTCCTTTAAAGGAGCCCTATTCCTAATATTAAGGCCCCTAGAAGACAGCCAAGGAAGCAGAAGAGGAGTCTGAGACGGCTCGCTGCGACAGCTCAGCCAGCAACGGCTCCTGCCGTGCCCTGGGCTTTGTCAGAGTTTTGGGTTTAGGTCTAAGGTTTAGTTAGGGTTTAGGTCGAGGGTCCAGTGGGGCTCTGTCAGAGTTTCGCGCTGCCATGATACTATAGAGGTCTTTATAAATGAAAATTAGGATAGGTTTCCCTTTTGAATGGGGTCTATAAGGGCTACTATATGTGATCTATAATAAGGGTACTGTAATATAGGGGCCTTCATAATCAGAATAGGGTATTGGGGTCCGTTATGCTGTACTTATAATAAGGAGCCCCCAAAACAGTATTGGTGATTATTTAGGCCCCTATATGTAGAACTGGTTTCAGCTAAGTGTTCGATGGCTGATAGGTTTCGGAATATTTTCTCAATTGACATGCTTGAGGCATGCATATACCGACAAGCAAGCCAAACAGACCACTGCATACATAATCGACTTCGCTTAATATGTGACCTACACATACCTCATCCCTTACACCCACGACCGCCGCCATCATCACAACTGCTACGGGCACTCCATTCCGCTTCTTGCTGCTGACACTGCGACGTGCTGCTGCTTTGGTTGCTGCTCTTGCTGCAACCGTTGGTGCTGCTGCAGCTGTTACTCGACCCTCCTGCTGCTGCTGCTGCTGCTACTGCTGCTGCCGCTGCTGCTGCTGCTGCTGCTTTTGCTACTGCTATTGCTACTGCTATTGCTACTGCTCCTCCTGCAGCTGCTGCTGCTATTGCTACTGATCCTGCTGCTGCTGCTACTACTACTACTCCTCCTACTACTACTAGTACTACTACCACTACTACTACAACAACAACAACAACAACTACTACTACTACTACCACTCCTACTACACCTACGACGACGACTACTACTATTACTATTAGCAGTTAGCACGCTACCATGGGCGTGCCATGTGGGTGACAAAATTAGCATGCTACTCCTGCTACCTGCTCTCCCTCGTGCGACTTCTGCTGCTGCGAATACCGTTACGAATACTACTGCTAAGGCTGCTTCGACATCGTGTGTACTGCTACCTCTGCAGCTGCCAGAGCTGCTGCTGCTGCTGCTGCTGCTGCTGCTGCTGCTTTTCCGAAAAGATGTCAATGGCCGCTACTTTGGTGCTTCTGTCCTCTGCTCATGTCTGACCTTGTTTTTCTGTTTGTCTTCTTGCAACTTTGCGGCTCGTATGCTGCCATGATGTTAGTTCGTAGCAGTCTTGGCTCTGCTTACGGCCACGCGTGACCCTCGATGTCGTTCCAAGCTTTATGGGCACATCTTCACCTTCCAACTTGGTGAGACTTCATAATTAGAATCGGGTTTTGGGGAATCATATACGATAGATAATTCTAATCGGGTTTGGGGGTATAATATACGATGACTATAGCTACAATAAGGAAAACCCAAAATAGTATTGCTAATTATGTCTCTCGGCCTCGGAGGTCATTTCTGGCCACGAGATGCCGCAGCTCTTGGGAAGCGTCCCGGAAGTCTCCGAAGGGCCAAGTCTCCAGTGACGTCGAGCTGGGAAAGACCTCTTGAGTTGGAGTTTCATCCCATTCGGCGGGATCATCAAGATTCCAACCTTGTGCTTCTATTGTTATTATCATTCTTTGAAAATATTGTTAGTAAGTATTGTTTCTATTGTTATTAGTAATACTTATATGATGAATATTATTATCATTGTATTAATATTATTGGTTATTAATATTGCTAGTAATGGCTAGCACGGTTTTCATGCCATGTACTGGTAGCTCGGAGCGGCCGGAGCTCCACTCGCAGAGCCCGGCTCGCGTTTTTGCCAGAATGGGCGTTGATTCGTTTTAGAATGCACTGATGCTTGGCAGAACTATGGGTTACTCTCCTATGCAACGACCTCAGTCCCTGACTCTTGACTTCGGACCTTTGCCCACTCCAAGTTCGTACAGAGCATCAGAAGGCATCGGCACTCAGCGATCGAAGGTCGGATCGACCCACCACCGAGCCAAGAGCACTTGTCCCCATTGCCAGAACTTCGGGGTCGTTTGATTCAGAAGGTGTAGGAGATAATAGGAAGGGCGGTCGGGTCGACCGAGGATGCTGCAAGGTGGTTCTAGCCACAGATTCACTAGCAGAATCGGACTGAGTCTACAATCTAAATACCCGAAGCAACTCTCTCCTTCCATTGGGTTCCACTATGCGATCCTTTGTGCCGTTTCTTGCCCGCCGGAAAGGCTGCTCGCAAGTTCAAACCCTCGCCGGTCTCTTAATTGGCAGAGGCGTCAGGGAATCTCCCTAAACCCTAAACCCTCTACCTTCTGCACGCCCGCCACTGGCACACGCTTTCTCGATCGCAGCGCGAGACCGAAGGGTGCAGGCGACCCGAGCCGACAAATCTGCTGCGACACTGGCTTCATGTAATGTAAGGGGCCTTAATAATTAGACTAGGGTTTGGGGTATATTACATATATTCATAGTTAGAATAG